TGGGCCTCTGGGAGAGCAGAGTTAAGAAAGGGAAAAAAAAGGGTTGGCAACAGGAGCTGTGAAAGCAAGGAGTGAGAACCAGCCCTGCAGCCCCCCAGGTGAGTGCAGCAGGAGGGCAGGAGGTGCTCCAGGCAGGCAGCAGCAGTTCCCCTGCGGCCTGTGGAGAGGCCCCTGGTGGAGCAGGCTGTCCCCCTGCAGCCCATGGGTCCCACATGGAGCAAATCTCCATGCTGCAGCCCCCCCATGGGTGGAGAAGCCCCCAGTGGAGCAGGTGGATGTGGCCTGGAGGAGGCTGCGGCCCATGGAGAGCCCCCGCAGGAGCAGGCCCTGGGCCGGAGCTGCAGCCCATGGAGAGGAGCCCACGCAGGAGCAGGGGGTCTCGGGGGAGCTGCCACCCACCCGTGGGGGACCCGTGCTGGAGCAGTTTGCTCCCAGGGGATGGATGGATGGACCCCGTGGCGGTACGGAACCGTGTGGGAGCAGTGCTTGAAGAGCTGCTGCCTGCGGGCATCCCTTGCAGTTTCAGTTCAGGAAGGACAGCATTGCGTGGGAGGGACCCCACAGGGAGCAGGGGCAGAGAACAACCATGAAGGAGCAGCAGAGGCAGTGTTAGGGACTGACCACAGCCCGTATTCCCCATTCCCCTGCACCACTCAGGGGGAGGAGGTGGTAAGAGGGTGGATGGGGAGAGGGTGGTTTTAGTTTGCATTTAGTTCTCACTGCCCTAGTCTGTTAGTGGTTGGCAATAAATTAAATTAATCTTCCCTGTGCTGAGTCTGTTTTGCCTGTTACAGTAACTGGTGAGTGGTCTCCCTGTCCTTATCGCAACCCACAAGCTTTTTTTTTTTTTTTTTTTTTTTCATCCTGTTTTCTCCCTTTATTCCTTTGAGGAGAGGATGTGAAACGGTGGTTGTGGTGGAACTTAGCTGCCCATCAGTGTGAACATACCACAGCCCTTGCACTCTAAATGCACTCTCAGCAGAAGCAGAGACAAATTTAAGGAGAATTTTACTCATATATGTATCAGCCAGATATTTTCGAATTCCATAAAGCTGTCAAGGTACAGCCTTTCCCACTATTTAACTACAGACACACAGACAAAGCCTCATTTGCAGTGCTGTCTGTCATAAGGAGCATTTTTCTGGCTTCTCCTTTAAACATGTTCATTCATATATATACCACAGAACAAAGTGTTCGTAAGAAATGTTCATCCACTTTGTACGTGTTCATCTACAATTGAATTAGCTGCACTTCAAAGGGCTGAAGTTCTACTCAATAGCAAGATAATATGCTAAAATGTGATATGTTATTCTTGGAGTATCCCCAAATTTGGACACAGCTCTAACTTTCCATCTGCCATACTCTTTCTTTCTCATTATTACTTTCCCTCCTCCCTCCCCCCCAGGGTGATAAATTCCATAAAGAACCAAACTTCTAAAGTCTGAAGGGTATCCCAAAAGACCTATGTAATACATAGTATCCTGAATCCCTTTTGAAGTAGTCCTTGGTGAATAACCCAGTGCAGTTTGCTGTTGGTACACACAATTCTTTGCCAGCTTCTGCTCCATTCCAGTATACTTCCTGTTTAGCAGAATTCGCAATAACCCCAGAGACTCATGAGATCAAGGCAGCATAGCCTAGACTAATATTTAAATATACTATATCTGCCCTGGAATTTGGACAACAGTCATGTCCTTAAACTTGCATGTGGTTCACAATTAATTACCATGTTTATAATGGCGTAGTTCATTTAAGCTGATAAAAATGTGGAATTTAATGAATTCTGTAAGCATTTGTTATCAGTATCTTTTCTAGAAAGAAAAAAAAAATAAATAAAAACACTTCCTCAGATGGATGTTGTTGAAAAGTAAATGAGCTATAGTTATCTAGATCAGTTTATTGGTATTCTCTGCATAACAGTTTATGTCTTCTTCTGGTTCTTGCTGTGAAATCAGCTGTGAAGGTGATTCATATAACTCTAGACTGTCTTAGCAAGAGGCTGCCTCTTTGTTTTGTTTGTTTTGTGAAAAGAGGGTATTCCCACAGATGATCTAATCATGTAGCTCAGCTCTTAAAACATTTCTAGCATTTGTCATTTGTCATGAGATACATCTGAGGAGCATTAGCTGTCTACGGACTCCAGTGAATTATTTTTCATCCTGTTTCCATGACCTCATTTCCACAGAGACCTCTATTTCTCATTATGAGGGTTCTCCCCCTTGTTTTCATGCTGTTACATGAGTACTATAGAGTCCTTTCAGCTTGTGCAGTATTTAATGAGGGAGTTCTGGTTCTAAAATGACAAGTCAACAATGAAAGCTCTATCTTAAAAGCCAGCAAGTGTAAGGAGAAAGTGAGTAATTGCCAAAAAATCCATCTGAATTAGTTCTTGCAAACAAAATTAAGCAATGAGGATTTTAGACAGGCAATCAAAAATAGGAGAAAGTTAGAAGTGGGTAGCTATTCAGAAAGAGGCACAGGTGAAAGGTAACTTTGGTATTAGAAGTAGAGAAAGATCACCTTGCCTCATTTTTCACCTTGATGAGAGCTGAAGCCTACTCCTGCATGTTGGGAGATATATATGTCATCCAGTTAATATGCTCAAAGCATGAACAGTGAATTGAGAAGAGCTTTACAACACTGCAGTGTTGCACATCCTCATACATTGGCCAAGTCCAGCTTCAGTGCCATTCTGGCCATTTAAAATACAATCTGTTCCCTAACATAGCAGAGAGTGCCAAAAGCACACTTACATGCATTAGGTGCTTCAGTGAGGAGACAGCCAAGAACATATCACAGGAAAATGGATAAATAATGGAAATAATGGCCAGTACTCAACGTGCATCCACTTAGTTTAGCTAATCTCCCTTCCAGAACTCTGAAATAATTTCCAGAATATGGAATGCCAATTCATGAGCAAAAGTTGCAAATAAAACCAAAGCAGAGTCAAAAGAATAGAAAATCACAAAAATATACCTATATAAATATACCTATAGTTCTGTAACAAAACCGTCCTCAAAAGTACAGTCCATGAGCCTTAACTCAACAGTGAGCAAGTATTTGGAAGAAATGTTGAATCTGTAACATGAATGGAAAATGAAAACGAATGCATAATGGATTTCACAACATTCATTTATGCCAGATTAATGTTTAATAAAATAAACATTGTTTTAGGCTATTCTATAATATGGGTTTGGGTGAACTATTTGATATGTAACCAAAAGGATATTGTAAATTTTACTGGAAAAGAGGGAGTTTATTTCAACAAGTCTGAAACAGCCCTGGAACTTACTAAGGAGGCATCAATATGTTATGCTAACAGGGGAACTGTTGAGCTAGGGCAAGTTTATTATTGGAGTTCCTCAAGGACGTATCTTGGAAAAGACTCTGCTTCTTCCTTAACGACATTAGCAAAAAAATCTAGTGAAAAGAGTGGATAACGTGCACTTGGGAAACGTTTTGTTGTTGATACAGAAGATGATTGTGATGCAATTAGGGGAGAGGTGGACTAGAATACTTGGAGTTAGAATGGCTCAATAATAAAATAACAAATAATAAAAATATAAGATTTGGACCTCAGAATTAACTATCATGAATAATGAATTTGTCAGTTAAGAGCAATGGTGAAGGAAGAAGAACTGTATACATCTGTTGATCACAGGATGGGTATGACCATTAGTGGGATGTGGCAATGAGGAGGATAAATGGAGTACTCAGGTACAGAGGGATAGCATTTCCAGCACAGACAGGGAATGATAGATAGCGCTGTATAGGTCACAGTGAAATGTCGTCTAGGAAACCATATGATGTTCTGGTTACCATTGCTGAGGAAAGATTAACTGAGACAGAAACAAATGTAGGGAGGAACTACTAGGTTGATCAGGAGAATGGAGAGTCTGCCCTAGAAACAGACTGATTGTTTCACAGACTGCTACTGATAAATTAGGCTGCAGCACAGATTTAAGCTACCATGGCTAGTTTGTTTCTGATACCTAATTTAGTTCCAATGCCTCTGCATTGTGCTGTAGTCAGTACAATGTGGACATAGCCTAAAAGAGTTCATCAAACTGAAGACTAAAAGAGAAAATGCCTACTCTTTAGGAATATGTCAGTAGGGGAAAAAAAAAAATAGCAGTACCACAAAGGGGATACTGATTTAAGTTAAAGGACAACATGAGTGCAAGAACAGTATGTGCACGTATATTCATTAAGTTTGTTTTCATTTAACACACAGAGCTCTCAGACTCCAGGCACAGTGGCAGCCAGGTAAAGCACCATGAGAAAATTGAGTGTGTTTTCGTGGCTGGACTCTACAATGGTTTTCTGCAATACCAGATGATAGGAACTGTATTACAGAAGACCTGACATACTCCAACTTTTAAGATTTGGTGTGGCCTTCTACTGCCTTGTTAAAATTCATTTACTACGGTAAAAAGAAGTAAAATATAATAGTTCTTACTCATGGGAAATTGATAGTTCATGCTCTCAGCAGCTTTTCACAGCAACTTCCCAGAAAATATCAGCCCATAACCATCTTAAGGAACTATCCCAATATTTCTAAATATAGAAAAGAAGTCTCACTAGTTACAAGTCTTTCTCTCTAAGGACTTCGATACAATGGAATTTTTCAAAAACAGAAAATTTAATCACATGATAAAATACTTGGCAATATCTATACAAGAAATATTTATACATTCTGATTATGTCATAACAATGGTATAATAGTTAGGCTTTGCACTGCTGTAGGAGAGTAATAAAAATTAAGATGATATCTCATGGAAATTTTTATTCTTTCATAAATATCTAAATTTTTAAATTGTCAGTTACCATATTTTTTTGTGTCTTCACCCAGCTTTATTTTGTTCGTTATTCTTTTAGTAATAAAATTTTTAACTATAAAATACAGAGTACATCTTTCTGTCATAAGAAAAGACTTTTACTTCAGCTGTGGTAGTACTTATGGATATCAAGCAAGCATCAATTCCCTTTTCAATCACTAGATGCTCTACAGACAGCAGAAAAGCAGGTCCTTTCCTGAGAGCTCACCACCAAAGATTTAGGTGATGTGCAGGGTGGAATAAACAGGCCAAAAGAGGAATGGATGACTGGGTAACAACAGAGGTATGCACTTAACATTATTACTCTAATAATTCACTATATAAAATTATTTCAGCATGCTTCATCAGATCTAGTAACTCATTCCTATATTTTCAGTGTTAATAGTTAAGCATTAACAGTTCAGTTTGCCCCTGGAAGAATAAGAAAATAGTATGGAGTATCAGCTTCTGCCCCCAACACTTCACAGTGCAGAGCTGAAAAATATGTATTAAGATACGTTCTCACAGCATACACTGACTACTTTTGCCTTAGATATTTTAGCTGAAAAAGGTACCAAAAAATTCTTCGTTGATGTTATCAAATTAATTGAATCACTCAGATAGAATGCACCATTCCTACTGGAGCAGCAATGTTTATGTTATGGCCTTACTGCAGTGTTTTTATGCACCACTAAGCTGTCAAGAGGCTTTGCTGTTAAAAAGTCCCCATTGCTGTTTCTTGGGTTAGGTGCAGGCATGCAGCAGAGGCAGAGGTTTGACCATGAGGTTTGCTCTGCTTCAGCACATCAGAGTGACAAGAGCAGTAGCAGTCCAATTTTAAAAATCATCTACAAATATTGAAACAATTGGAGATATTTTTTCTCAGAAAGATAAATAAATAAATAAATAAAACAGGAGAAGGCACAGTAGAAGCATCGAGGCTGTGGCAGAGTCAAAGGGAATAATAGTCTATGCTCCATATCCATGATGAACAGAGGAAAAAATAGGAAAATTTTATTTCTGCCCTGTATCCTTCTCTCCCTCTTGCTGCCTCCCTCCCAGCCATCAAGTGCCTATGATCTTGCCTAGAACTTGAGTCTTGCCTGATTTACCAAATAAGGAGGAATTTTACCCTCTTAATACTGTGATACAAGGATGAGAGCTGGAGAAGATGTGAAATCCGTGCTGACCCTTAGGCCGCAGATTGAATGTTGCATTACTGAGAATCAACTGGGCCTCTAGGGTGACTGCATCAGAAGAAACACAAACAGCAGAATCCACTGTGACAGAAAATAGCATATCAGATCTGAAATTAAAAACTGAATCTGTTAAGCTCTTTACAGGAGTGGGTGGTTTTATCCTGGCTTTGCTTTCAGACATGAAAAGCCTTTGCTGTGTGAAATTATTGGGAGAGCCTGAGCACAGTCTTGGACTTTTATGGATACAAAACCAGGTATTTTTCTATGGTATTCCTAGATTACGTAGGTGCTTTGGGGTTGTTTTGTTTGGGAGTTTTGTGGGGTTTGTTTGGTTGGTTTTTTTTTTGTTTTGTTGTTGTTGTTGTTGTTGTTGTTGTTGTTGTGTTGTGTTTTGTTGTTTTTTTTATTATTATTATTCATATGTTTTGTGTTTTTTGTTGTTTTGTTTTGTTGGTTTTTTTTGCATTTAAAGTGTGTTCTTATTGTGTTTCACTCAAGGACAAGAAAAATTCAGATGCATGAATTTTGCATGCTTTTTGTACCTTATTCTCTTACACACTTTCTTGTAGCATGGTCATCACGTTATTCCTTAAGTCCCCTCAAACAGTGCATTAAAAGTCTTAAGTAACAACTGTAAGGAGAGCACCCACACAGCAGATTGCTCACCCCCATCAAGACACCAGAGAGACCGGGAAGACCAACAGCAATTAAACTTGTAGGTAAAGACAAAAACAAACTAAAAAAAGTAGGGGAAAGAGGAAAAAAAAAAAAAAAAAGTGATGCAAAAGCAGTCACTCACCACCTCCCACAGGCAGATTCATACTCACCTAGTCTCTGAGAAAAGGCCACCTTGGTAGCCAATCTGTCCCCTCCTTCTTCTCCTAGCCCAGTTTATTGCATTGCAGTATGATGTTATGTGGTACTGAGTATCCCTTGGGCCAGTCTGGGTCAGCTGTCCCAGCTGTGTTCTCTCCCAGTCATGCCTACCTATGTGGGCATGTTCCCACAGCCTACGAGCTGAGGGAACAGAGTGGAAAAATAAAGCTGTGACATGGTGTTTAGCAACTATTGAGCAATAGCCAAAACATAAGTGTATTATCAAAAGTATTTTAGGCACAAATCCGAAACACAGCACCATATGGGCTGCTGTTAGCTCCATCCCAGACCTAGCAGGGGGAGAGAGTTGAGAGTATCTCTTGTCTTGCTCCAGTAACCCCATGATAATGAACATTGTAAGCTGGAGCATTTTTTGGATGCAGTTTTCTGGAGGACAATTTCCAGCTCAGTTTCATCTGAAAGACGTCCAGTTCATACAACCCTGACCCAGTCTGCAGTTTGAACAAAAGCCTGGCAAATGGCTCAAAAGAGCATCTGAACTAAAATAGTGATGTGGAAAGCATTGAGCGAGCACCCTGTTGGGGGTATGAACAGCAAGGCACGCGGTAGAATTTCCTGAAGCTGCAGTCCCTGGGCTGGGTATCAGCCACCATGCAAGTGGACATTTGTACTGGAAAGCAGATTGCTAATGCAACTGTGAGCTGAACAGTGCTGCTGTCCCCGACAGAGCAGCAGGATTCACCAGTAGCGGGACAGGTCTAACTACTGGAAATAGTGTCAAAAAAGCATTACATGTGAAAAATTTATATACTTCAGTAGGCTAGAAGATGAGAGAAAGTAACTCCAGGATAAGTTATGATATAGAAAAGGCAACTTGTCTTTCTTCAGGTTTCTTGCCAGCTCTCTCAGGAAAGCAGCACTTGGTGCCAGGTGGGAGAACAGGCTCCAAAGACAGGACAGTGCCAATGGAGGGAGGTCTCCTTGCAGGGCGACAAGATGCATGAGCTACATTGCGTACAAACATATTGCTGGAGAGCTGCAAAGTGTTTTGTTTTGTTTTTCCTGTGGGTATATATGAAGAGAACTTTCTGTTACAATATAGGTTCTTTATGAGAAATAATTAGGCACAGAAAGGGCCCGAGGGAAGCCAGAGAGAGATAATCTAACCCAGGGATGTCCCATTGCAATTAGGAATTTGCAGAGACTGCGTACACGCTAATGAGCATCTTCTCTGTTACCACTTCATTTCTGATATGCCCAGTGCCTTAAACCAGAAAAAGAATTTCTTTATACTTTTCTACTTAGAAAATTGTTTTTAGCCTATAAAAGGAAGAAAAGAAGAAGGATATAAATGCAGCTTTAAAATAAAACAATAGAGACAAAAATAAAAATAAAAAATATCATAAACTATAATACAAAGATGTAAGGGAGAAAAAATAATGTAGTTTGGTTCTTGTTGTTGGGCAGGATTTTTGCTTTTTAATCCCAATGTTATTGCTTTTTTTTTTTTTTTTTTTGAATAGTTCAGTAATCTCACTAGAATTTTTCTTCTATAAAATGCCAAGGACTGTACCCAAGGTATATCTCACATCTTTTCCTATTACACCAGAGGGAGAGGCTGAATCATACTAAAAGAAGCTTCTTGCCTTATTAGGACATGAGAGTCTCATATAAAGAGACATGAGCCGGTAGGAATAGCTAGCCCTAATACCTGCTACATGTTTCCCATTACTGCAGCACATCCAGCTAACTGTAGACTGCTAAAAAAAAAAGAAAAAAAAAAAAAAAAAGCTATTGGGGGAAAAGCTATGCCACTAATGAGGTCATTTCTTTTTGATGTATGTCAATAAATAAAGAAGGAAAAATATAAATAACATGTTGCTGTATATTAACCTCTTTTGAGGGAGGATTATTTTTTAAGTGTGCTTAAGATATTTCTCAAATGCCCCTTAGCATTTTTACAGTGACATAAGGCACTTAAGGCTGGATTGCAAGCTGATTGCTACAGACAGAAAGACTGCCGTTGCCACTGTCTGGCGTCTTAGATGTGGATTACGAGCTCTTCAGTGCAGTGACCTTGATGATGTTTTGTGTCTATATAGATCAGGCACCATAATTTTGTTTTCTTTCTACAGATATAGTTAAAAAGGAAGCACGGATCTAATGGATGTCAGTTTCTCCTAAATAATGACTATCTCTAAAAGCTAAAAGGAAAAAAAAAAAAAAAAAAAAAAAAGGAAGAAAACAAGATTGATGGGGGGGGGAATAAAAAGGAATAAAAAAGAGGGAAGCATTTGTTTGCAGGAAGAAAAAAAAGAGAGAGAGAGGGGGAGAATTTAATAGTATAACTGAAGGGAAAAAGAAAAAAACCTTTTTATTAGCTCACGCAAATCCTGTGCTTCTACTGCCGATCATATTGGTAGAGTTGCCACCTGTCAGGCTAGAGAGGCAGCAAAGTACAAAGTGAGATATTAAGGATGTCAGAAAAGTGTTTACAGCTACTAGCCATGTATGCTCATCTGCACGAAAGCAAGAATAACAGCTTGGTTTTGATGAAACCCATACTGATAGGAAAACAGCTTCAACTGCTCAGAGAAGACAGGAGAGACAGCTTTAAATGAAGCCTCAAAAGAGCCTTTCAGCTGATGCAAATAATTAAGACTTCACATGACAATTCCTAGGAAATTCTGTGGTTGTGCTGCACCTTGCCCACACCCTAGAGCAGGATGCATTGCAATGAATGTAAGGAGTGTATTAAGAACAGCAGCTCTTCCTTTATGTATCCACTTGACTGTTTTCCTGGTTAAAAATAATAGTGTGTGTAGTTCAAAATACTTTTGATATTGAATACATCACAGTGATGTTTTACAGCCCAGTTACCACTCTGTTGAGAGCAAATAATGAAGCATTTGTTTCTTGTTTTGTTGCCGTGTTATTAGGACTTGAGGGAAGAGCTAGTAGTGGGGGATTTTTTGCTGTATGTGATAAGTAGAGGCTTGAATCATCTTTCATAAACTGTTTTCGCTTTGCAAAATACCCCTCTTCTCACCTTTCTATCCCTTTTGTGCTTTTTGTTCTTCATGCAACAAGAGTAATGAGAAGGAAACATCCTGATGTATAGCCAGCCTGAATAATGCCATCAATCACTCCAGCCTTCAGTGTCTGACTGCATGTCTAGTTTTTCCCCTAGCTTTTCCCCATATTTCACCATCTCTTTGGAGGCCTGGGTCAGCACCACCGTCTGCTGCCAGCCGTCCCAGCATGCACAAGCTATCACTGCTCCCAAGATACTGAGGTAATCCCCTGACCAAGCTGAAGAAGAAGGGAGGAGCATAAATATCCTCAAGGGCAAGAAAGTGCCCAGATTTTTCTTTTCCTTATCTAGCACCCCCTCTAAGGAGGGAGGAGGGATGCTGGCTCCTTTGGCACTCTGTATTCAGACCATGAGGAGTCTGTGCAGGGAAAGTGAGGCAGCCACTCTGGCTGCAGGCAGCCATGACTGTGAGAAGTGCCATGCTTGTTTCTTCTGTCCCTGCTGCCAGGGAATGACTTTCCCTTCTATTTCATAACCCTAGGCTGACAAACATCATTTTGTAGGATGTTCCTGGCCAAACAATCAGGAAGGATATGAACCTCCCGTTTCACCTGTTGCTATCAGTAGAGCTGTGTACAAACATTTCTCTCCTGTTCTGCCTCACCACCTTCTTGGGACTTCCCCTCCCGACTCCCTCCATCGGCACCTGCCATGGAGGGGAGCTGCCTTCCTTTGGTTCTCCCTCATCACACCTTTCTTCCTCCTTGCTTCCTCAGGAAGCAGACTGTTCCTCAGCTTTATTTTTTCTTCTGTAGTCAACCTGTCCATCGATTTTGACCAGTCACACTCATCGATGCATTGTGTCCCCATCAGGCACCCTGAACACAGCAGGGAGGCCAGAAAATCCTGTTTTCAGTGTGTAACTTCCTCTCTCCCATCATACCATTAAGTTTTCACCCAAATTTCCCCAGCTCTATCTCTAAGTCTACAACTTCCTCGTAAGGGGGTGTCGAGAGGCAGGAGACCTTTTCTCCATTAACACCAGCGACAGGACCCGCGGGAATGGAGTTAAGCTGAGGCAGGGGAAGTTTAGGCTGGACATCAGGAAAGGGTTCTTCACAGAGAGAGTGGTTGCACACTGGAACAGGCTCCCCAGGGAAGTGGTCACTGCACCGAGCCTGACTGAATTTAAGAAGAGATTGGACTGTGCACTTAGTCACATGGTCTGAACTTGGGTAGACCTGTGCGGTGTCAAGAGTTGGACTTGATGATCCTTAAGGGTCCCTTCCAACTCAGGATATTCTATGATTCTATGATTCTATGATAAATTTACCATTCCTATCTTCAGTAAGGCAATGTTTCATAGAAATTTAGTTCCAGAAAATCTCTGTCATGAATAATAGATTCCTTAAATTATTCATATAGGCATTTCCACTGTCTCTTCTGCTGGGGTCAAGATGTTAGACTAAACAGAGCAATGACTTGCTGTAACATACTCAGAGTGTCTTTTATCATGCTTCTGTTTGGTTTTGGTTTTCTCCCCAGTCTTTCTTTTGAAAGTAAACACGATTATGTTTGGAGCCCAAATGATATTGACAAAGCACAATATAGTTGCTTTTGTTTGTTACCATCTTCTCTAATTTATTTGTATTTCTTAAGAGTATCATAACAGTTTGATAACCCCCTGGTGATTATCTTGACAGGAATTTTTGTTGTTAATTTGGTGCTGCTTACAGATTATATTCCCTTATAGACTTTTCACTCAATTATAGGAAGACACCAAGTACATATAGAATTAAATCCAAACAATTTGCTTTAGCCCAGCATGGTAAATAATAACTAGATGTTTTATCAGAGATCAAATGCTAGTTGCTGAGCTGGGGAAATTAAACTAATTACAATTCTGATGTTTTTAAGAAGAACGCAGACTTTCTCTCATGCCATCTTTCTTGGGACTGGATGTAATCAGATCTCTTTGACTTCTGAACCTCCACTTCATATTTCCTACAGATCCTCGAAACAGCTCAGTGGATATATACTTCAAACAGCAATCATTTCTGGGAGTGCTGGAAATACAAGGATGCTTACAGTGTGGGGCAAGGATTATTCTGAAGGCAGTGGGGAACAATAATTCAATCAGGATTATTTTTCTTTCAAGTACGTATTTCAGACCTTTTTAATAAGCAAGAAGGTACACCATCTGAATTTGCTAGTGCAAATTATTCTGAAAGCTGGTTAGAGGTGGAAGGAAGGGAATATTTTTCTGCTTTGCTAGGATCTGAAATAAATTGCAGTAAATAAAATAAAACAAACAGCAACAACAAATCCAGGACAATTTGCTCCCATTCATGTTAGAAGTACAGCAATTGCTGATTATATATAAATTGCTAAGAACATTGTTTTCATTTCAGCAAGTAAGAAGTAGGCGTGCATACCTTTTCCATTTCAATTTGAAAAAATATATTGTGCTGACAATCTAGAGAATTATAGAGATGGTATTATATTAAATGGTCCCTTTTTTCTGTTTCTGGGTCCAATGGTTTCTCCAGAATGTCTGTACTTGTTCTGAAGGTGTCTGGAATAGTAATACTCCTCTTCATATGTACTAATTTCATACCCTTTTATATTAAAAAAAAAAAAAATCCACAGAAAGTTACCATACAGATACTGATATGAATACTGAGATGAGACTGGGAAGAGAGCTGTTCAATGAAATAGCAAAGTGTTACCTTAGCAACCTGCTGTCATAAGCCTGGGTATCTTAATATCTCCAAAGAGGTACAGTCTTTGGTAAGGAGCATTGTAAATAAACAAAGGGTGAGTCAACAGGAAGTACTGTGAGTAATCTTTTTATACTATCTGTTATTGATAGTGTCAGTATTTTATTCCTTCTTTATCCTAAGCAAAATAATTCAACTGTCATGTGGCTCACTCTTACAGGTAAAAGGATGCTTCAGAGCAACTACTGAAGAAGTCATGACCATGGACGTGACCAAGACCGTCCTGCACACACAGCTGAAGGTATTGTGACCAAATACCACTCCTTTTTCAGAGTAACCTGATGCTATAAAAGGCCCCAGTGATTTCAGGGATTTGCACTTGCACCATAAGGTACAAATGAAACATTTAGGATCCACTCAAGTCTGACACTGGAAGTTGAGAATTATGATCCATGTCATTGGTAACAACACCTATATTTATTTGCATAATTCTTCTCCTTATGTTTCTCAGTCGCTTGCTAATCTGACAGGTCTTAATTACTGCAGCTAAATATATTCTTGTGCTCAAAAATTTCCTGAAATGGATTGCTAATAATTTTATGGTCTCTATAAAAAAAATTCTGCAATGAGTTTGTTTGCAAAAATTCAAGATTTAGACGTTCTTTAAAGAACAGATTCCTTAAAAAGCACATCCTTTTTTCTTGAGGAGAAAAGGAGGTGAAAAGATGGAACTGCTTCCATCTTTCTCTAGCATTTTTCCCCTAAGTGGATTTGCATGGTACATTAAACTAAATGGTATTGACTTCATGTTCGGTCTAGACCTTTGAAGTATACAGGATGCTGTTAGATATTAAGCATTTATGCTGAATCAGATGCCTTGTTTTTGCTGCACCTCTGAGTTGGGCAATGTACCATGAACAATAAAGAGATGCACATACCAAAAATAATTGTATGGAAGTTCCTGGGGATGGGAGCCTAGAGACCAGTCTCATTACCGCAGATTTAGAATTATACTTTGAAATAATTCAGAACTTCTATTATCAAGCAAGGCCTAACAACATTTTCCTAGAAAGCATTCAGACTTTGTTCTCGATATTTTCAGAAAGAGCTGGCTGGAGAGCTGTCCGAAAGGTGAATGCCAGCCAGTCATGCTCTCAGTGCAGCAGCCCAGAGCCTGCCAGAAGTTCGCACCAGCCTCATCCTCATCCACCCTCTGCCTGCCATCATCCTGCTCCTCTGCTCATGTACACCACATCAACTATCTCTTACCCCTTTACTCTGCCTTTCAAGCATTGCCTTCTATGCACAGTTTCCTTGCATAGCGTTCCCTGCATTTCTACTACCCACTGACAGGAGGTGTTTCCTTCTCAGAGATCCTTCACTATTTCCCTTTTCTCATCCAGTTAAAATACCCAAAAATCTATCTGTTCTGGAGAAGCAGATAACAACCTTCAAATGGCTCATACAGTGTTTATTGTCATGTTTTGATTATTTGTGCACCTTGCTGGAGAAATGACAGTCAAAAAGGTAGTGCTGAATCAGATAAAAAAATATGTGACTGCAGCATAAAACATTTGCAAACAGCTTTTTGTGCAACAAAGAAAATGCAAAAATATGGCAGATGACACTCCTAATTAGCTCCTCTCCCTGGATTAATTAAAATAGAAGTTTAAATATATGGTAACCTTTTGGAAAAATAAAAGAGAATAAAAAAGAAAAAGAAAGAAGATTGAAAAGTTAGTATTTTAAAACAGAACCACTTATATTACATAATGTCTAGGAGGGATGGCATTCATGAAATGTGTTTGGAATTATGTAGTATCTATAGTGCAGTTTAAAAGCCAATAATAAGATTTAAATAAAGAACAATTCTGTAAAAGCTAGAGAAATGCCCTAGATTCTTGCACCAGCACATATCTCCACTGTATTCATTTGGTGACTCACCACTGCAAGCAAGAATAGCTTCTAAGTGGAAACCCAGGGAAATCAGGGTGTATTATCCAACATACTGAAAGCTGAAGCAGCAGTTACTGGAGCTCACTAAATAAGCAAATAAAAATAATGCTGTTATATAGCTAGCACAGGATTGTGTATTTCCATTTCCATCTAAAAGAAAAGGGAACAAAATTAATTAGTGGAAGAGTATTTGAAAGAAGTTCCTGAAATGATTTGAACAGACAGGTAACAGTTGCATCAGCCAGTATGTACAGAGAAAATATATTTGCATTAATATTGGATTTTGCTGGTTTTACTGATTCTGAAATAAATTGAAGTTGTAAAAATTCTTCCTTTACTAAGTGCATTTTTAAACCATGTCAGCTTTGCTGAACTTAACACGTCTTACTTAAGTTATAGATTTAGAATCACTGCCTCCAAGAAACAAAAAACATTTTCCTTATTGTGTAGTTTGTAATATTGCAAATTTAGATCTTCTCTATCCACAGCTTTCATCTCTATAAAAACACATTTATGGTATAGATAAACAGCTTCTAAGGCTGCTAAGGCTTCCAAGATTAGAATCTTTAGCTAAAAGTACCTTTGAAGCTCAAATGGAAGCTACCCATCATTATTTGTCTCACTGATAGCCTTTGGGACAGCACTGGGGCAACCCTTTAGTTATCCTTGGGAAAAGCCTCCCAGCTTGGCTGGCGTGGGCTAGCACAAGATCCAGTGCCTTGATGGCCTCTTTCCTACCCATGTTTGCAGCAGCATTTCAGGGCCAACATCCAGCTGCCTACAGGGGCTCACATCCCCTATTTTCACATGAATTTGTCCACTTCCAAAAGTCAGCACCTGTATTTTATTATACATTGTTGAGGGCCTTAGTAACAAAATGTAATTCCCCATGCAACCATGGATCAGCTTAATTGCTTGTTTTCCCCGAACAGCAAGTTTTACCCAAGATTTAGTTTGAATCCTTGACATCTACTTTAAGAAAATAAATAAATAAAAGAGATTACATAATCAAGAGTCAAGAGTCCATCCCTTCCAGTTTGCAAGACCCACCTGGTCAAGCAGTGCCTACTTCCAATCATATTTTGAGGCTGGACCAATGGGCATTTTTAAAGTAGTTACTGTGACTACTGATTCTGCTCCACCATGATTCCTTCGTTTAAGTGTTATCTCATGAAATTTTTTGGGGGGGTCAGTATATTACACTGATGTTAGCAAGACAAACAAGTACCATGCTCAAAAACATAACAAATTTGTTAATGCTAAGCTGACTGGCATTACCAAACTACACTCTTTCATTATTTATTAATGGACATTTATACTGGCCCCTCCACTATTGTCTGAGATAACTAACAGGCTTACAATTGCCTCAGCACTGCATTTATTCTCTTTAATTCAGGTTTAACATTAACTGTTGTTTTTTTCTAAGGTATTTTAAAATGAACATTAATGATTGATAAGGTTCCCTGTGCATTTCCTCCAGTACCCTAGCTACCTAAATAAAAAATTAGTAAGCAGCAAACATTTATGAAACCAAGTTTCAGTGAAGAAATGTAATTATTACCAAGAAAGGTAATAAACAGGTCTTGATGCATAAACTTGTTTGGTTTTTTTTTTCAGCCCTATCTTTTCAGTGAAAAATATCCATCTTCCTCCAAAGTAATTTATGTTGATAGACTATAATATCAATTTACAATAAAAATACATGGAAAAAAAAAAAAAGTAGAAGACAAACATGAAATATTTACCTCAGAGATTTTTTCTTAATTATTTTATGGCTAGTATAGGAGTCTGGTGAAGTGATGTGCTTTGGAGCTACTCTTTGAAGCTTTCAGCAGCAAGTGGCTTCCTCCCCAGCATGTGTTTTAAATGTTTTGCTGGGTTGTAGTCCACCTGCATAGAACTGTGCTGTCCTTTTTACCCTTTCAATATTTTAAACATTTGACCTGCTTTCCTTCCTGCAGTTTTGCTTCCTAGAATGTTCTTGAAATAATTATGTAAATGTCATCTTAATGCATTTTCGCTGCCATGTGCATTTTCAGCCTCCTTATGATGTTATCTTTTCAGAATGCCACAAAAATGTGAACCAGATGTGCTGAGCACAAAATACCACAGCAGGGATTTCCCTCACAGCAATCATGATATGGAAGTTCTCAGAGGCTCGCCGTGAAGTAGTAGGGCTATTTTTAGTAACAGAAATATAACATAGGTAATAGAGTTTGAAGTATACTAAGTATATACTCAACATGCCTATTTACCATGCTGGAAAAAAAAAAAAAAATGGTCCACAAGCAAACACTTCAATGGTAAAAGAAAACCCAAACCAGAATTGCCTTGATATTTTAAAATTTGTCACTCGTACTATGTGTTTTTTAATATTTATAGATAGCTCATTTTCTGCATTCCTCTGTAATGTATGTCAAAAAGTTCTATGAAAAAAGATGAGCTGCAGACTGTTGGCTTCCTATATATTTGTGTATTGACATTCATTAGCCAGTTAACTCTTGGAATTGTGCCAACTGACTAAATGCAGGTTCTATGTTTGATTGTCAAGACCTTTATTTCAGACCTCCTGGGTGAAAGCACAACCAAGCCTTTCAGTCAGAGGGTCTGTTGCTTGTGACAATTTGTTTATGTGTTGGACTCATTCCTACATAGCATCATTTCCAATTCAAAAGTGAAAATAGCACTGACTCCTTTCAATCCCACTAACACTAAAGGCAAATTAACATTCCCCCATTTCATGTCCTCCATTAAACACACGTCTAGCCATAAAACCCGTAACAGTATCAGTGGCAGCTGCTAAGTTACTGCATTTTCTACTAAAGTTATGCTATGTGGAATATCTCCCATGCTTTGACCCAGTGTAGTACAGGGTGAGGCAGTGATGGTGGCATCTATGCTTCTAACTACATCTTCTCAGTCACTCTTCATTTGTAAAAACATTTTTCTCATTTTTAGCCTACAAATTTATTTATTTATTAATATATAAATGGTATGAGTGCTGTGGACACAAAGAGGACAAAAAGGTTAAAAAGTTGTACAGGCTAACAAGCAAAAGTTCTAGTTTTGATTGTTTTTGTTTGTTTTGTTGTTTTGTTTTGTTGCTTTTGCTTTTTAATTATGTTTATATTGTGCCTAAGCCTTGCTTCATAAAGCCTGCCACAGACTTAGTTATTCTATCTTTTGACCAAATGCTGGAGTTGGCCTTGATCTCACACACATCTGCCATTTGACCTATGTGAATTATAGCTGGATTAAGGTATGCCATGTCTTATTAGCTTAATGGTAGCTGAGTTAGAGAAAGTCACACTCTAATGCACAGCTTTCTTTGATTGTTCATGACTCAGAACCTCTTGAAACTTCTGAGTTCCTCTTAGCACCAAGTCTGAAGTTCAAACAAAATTGGCTAAGCCACTCTGAGACAGACAAGTAGGACTGTAGTAGTGTCCTACTTCTCAGATCACAGTACTTTGTACATTCAAGAGGATGAAATGCTCTGTGGCAGAAAGAAAAACTAGCACATTTTACCAATCTCTTGTCAAAATCTTAAAGATTTTTAATGTACAGATTTCTAACTGCAGTTGTAGTTGAATGACAATAATAGATCCTAAACATATTTCTGAATTGGTACTGAGCATCTCCAATGTGGACTAATGTAATTCCTGTGTGTAATGCTTGCTTGTGATGGAAAGAGAAAAATCAATTCTGCAGACTGTGAAACAGTCACTATACACTGCTCGGAGGTTTGACAAGGCTCTGTTAGACTGGAAAGATTATTTCAGACAGACAATGCAGGGGTGTAGTCTTGCAGCATGGCTGTTAAAGGAAAACAGGCATGGGAATATGTCAAATTCTGATTCTCTGAAATCACTGGCAAAATTCCCACTGAATTAAATAGGGCCAGAACATCATCCTAGATATTATTATGTGTATGCTTGCTGAAAATTTGTATTAATTTAATGATTTGAGCTACAGAATTTGAGAAAATAGAAAATAAATAAATAAAAGAATCCCAAGCAACCTTATTTTTGTTCTTTTATGTAAACAACTCTGATGCATTCTTCACTAACACTGATAAGCAAGATTATTTCTGTGGTATCACTACCATTGAGCTCCTTTGCCTGGCTGATTCAATCTGAAGGATTCACCAGTGCTAATACTAATAATAAGAACTAAGTTTGAAAAATACTTATAACAAGAGCCGTTAGAGAGCTTAAAAACTAATTATTAGGATTGCTGGGTAATATATGACTCTCAAGTCACAAAAACATTTTTCAGGGTTATTCAGAAACACCTCTGAAACCAAGCCCATGTGCCAACAAGCCTGGCTTCATTTCAAGCCTGACTACCTTTCTACCTCCTCTTTTGTGTCCTTTTTCTCCAATTCCTGACTTAACAGACAAATAATTTTACAATGGAACCCCAAGCAGAAAGTGAGCTGGCAAAAAGAAGCCTGGGGAGCACAGAGAAGAGCCTGATCTGAGAAGGAGGGTTGTGCATAAAGGAAATGAGGTGTTTCTTAAGCTGGTCTGGATTACCAATCCCCTTCCTAGTGCCAGCCCTTAGAGACAGGCCAAGGCATCATCCACTCCTCTCAACAGTCCTCACCTTGTGCTGCTCAATAGTCACGGCATTGTATTCTGCTGGACCGTGTGGGCTGGCAATAGCTTTTTGATTTGTAAGTAAACAAGTTGTGATTGCTTTTCCCTCTTTGATTTGAAAATAAATAGCTTTTTAATTTTGTATACAAATAACACTTAAAAAAAAAAAAAAAAAAAAA